TGGGAATCTATATTTTCCCCATTTTTTGAGGTGGCTGGGAGGGAGCAATTATGTTTCCTTAAAGTTCTGTTTTGTCAATTGGTCCTCGTGACTGGCCTGTTTTACTTTGAGGAGGTAAGTTAGCCTAGTATTCTTTTTTTCCCTATGCTTATTGGAAAATGTTCCTTATAACCAGGTAACTTTTAGGCAAAATTAGAAATTCAATACAATTTTTCTTCATAATATCCATTTTTATGTCTTCTGTTTTCTCACTTCAAGGACTTTGTGGAAAGAGGACTAAATTAAGAATAAGGAAGCCTAGGTTATTTTCTGATTCTTCTTCTAGGTAACTATTATTGGATAAACCATTTAATATTCTAAGTACCTCATTGCCTAATTCATAAAAGTGAGATAATTGGAAGAATAGTTGTGTGAGAAAAATATGTCTTAGACCCCAAATAAAAGTGGGTGTTGAGGGAGGCACAGCAATCAGATACTTAGGTCACTGTTATAGACTGAATGTTTGTGTCCCCTGCACTCCACCTTCCTAATATATATCTGGAAACCTAATCCCCAGTGTGTTGGTGCTTGGAGGTGGGGCCTTTAGGAGGTGATTAGGTCATGAGGGTGGAGCCATCATGAAAGGGATTAGTTTCCTAATAAAAGGGACTTCAAAGAGGTCCCTTTCCCCTCCCTCCAGGTGAGATTACAAAGTGAAGACAGTGGTCTGTGAACAGGAAGTGGGTCCTCACCAGACACTGAGTCTAGAGGAAAGTTGCTCTTGGACTTTTCCCACCTCCAGACCTGTTAAAAATAAATGTTTGTTGTTAAAGTCACCCTGTCTATGGTATTTTTGTTATAGCAGCTTGAGCGGACTATGACAGTCACCAATACTGTGGGGCTCCTGTTGTGACCGGAATAACCAGACTCAACCTGAGTGCTTTGATTATAGAGGCAGTTTATTAGCCGGCGGCTGTCCTTCCAAAGGAGCAGCCCCGAAATGCCAAGATACAAGGTTTTTAAGCCTCAACTCCCATTCCTCATTCTGTCTTAAACACAAAGGTCCATCTTTCTGCTATTCACTACCTGTCAACCCACTGGTCAGGTGTGCAAGCGGGGAGTACAGAAGCAGAAAGCTCGCTGCCAGAATGCCATGTTCCCATGGGTGACCGCCCAGGCTCCCATGGGCAATAGCCAGTGTTCCCATGGGCGATGGCCAAACAGTAATTTTCAGCTTATATACAATTGATTATTTTTCATGCCACGCAAGCAAGCAGGGTTGCACAGGCTAAAATTGGCAGTTAGCGTATGAGCTCATTGTTATAAGTTTCATGATTAACAGAATGCGGTTAGGGGTTCCAGAAACTAGGCCTAAGGTATAGACTTCCTTTGTCCAGTTTCAGGTTTTAATTATCCTTTAACCCTTTCACATTTCAGCAGGCTATTACACTCCTATATCTGCCCAGAGCTGTTTATATTTGGATTGTAATAGGAGACGGAAATACACTTTTATCTTGTTTAAGCTATTTTGGCCATTGTCACATCAGTTGGACCTGTATTCTAATACTATCTCTTATGTCTGAAAACATGCTTTTAAGAAGAATTAATATGATCTATTTACACTGTAGTTAAATTGCATTTAAGCAAAAATATTTTTTTTTATTACTTGTGGAATCACAGTTTTTGTCCCAGAAATACAATTTTAAGCATTTCAGAGAAAATAGGGATAGAGAAATAAGTTGGGGGTCAGAAATATCCTGGTTTTCCTGAGAACACTAGATGTGGATAGCCACCCGCTTTATGCACGAGAGGACTTGCTCCTGCCTGGATGCTGGGGGACCCCTCTCCCCAAGAGGAACCACCCTCCACAGAACCTTCTGTGGTACATCAGTCCTCCCTACTCTGATCTTTTTTTCCGGTTGTATAGTGAGTTTCATATACTGAGTTCTCTGCAATAATCCAGAAGCATCTCAAATTAAAGCTTAATTCTTCATCTTCTCCCCTTTCAAAAACAAAATGAAACAAAGCAAGACAAGATTCCTCCTTATTTTTTTGTTTTCTATGTCAAATAATAGCACTACCATCTACCCAAATGTCATCATTTCTTGCTTCCAGATCTGTCCAGATGTT